GGCCGGTGGAAACCGTTTCTCAGAGTGAATGCCCTGCTCGTCCTCGAACCGGTATTAGGACTCGAACCTGGTGAGTCCTCTCCTTTCTCTCTCTCTCTCTCTCTCTCTCTCTCTCTCCTCTCTCTGCTCTCTCTCTCTCTCTCTCTCTCTTCTCTCTCTCTATCTCTCTCTCTCTTCTCTCTCTCTCTCTCTCTCTCTCTTTCTCTCTCTTCTATCTCTCTCTATCTCTATCTCTCTCTCTTCTCTCTCTCTCTCTCTCTCTCTCTCTCTCTCTATATATATATATATATATATATATATATATAGATAGATAGATAGATAGATAGATAGATAGATAGATAGATAGATGTAGATAAACAATTCTAATTCTCTCTTTACTTTTATATATATTTTTTTTTTCTTTTTTTCTTTTTTTTTTTTAATCAAGAATGCGCCTTTAAACCAAACGATACTTAGACCAAAGATTAATATGTATGTTAAGGGTTCTACTTATCGACAATTTTTTTTATGTATTGTTCCATACGATATGTATATATATATATATATATATATATATATATATATATATATATATATATATATATATATATATATATATATATATATATATATATAGTAGTATATATATATATATATATAATATATATATATATATATATATATATATATATATATATATATATATATATATATATATATATATATTATATATATATATATATATATATATATATATATACATTCGTATTGAACAATACATTCAAAAATTTTGTCGATAAGTAGAGCCCTTAACATACATATTAATCCTTGGTCTACGTATCGTTTGGTTTAAAGGCGCATTCTTGATAAATCTATTTAATGGGGCTAATATTACTAGCAATAGCATTATCAACGTAAACATTAACTCATTTATCACTATCTGTTTTTTTTCTTGTTCTTGAATTTGTTCCGTTTTTTCATTTTTTTTTTCTTTTATTTCTTTTCTTGCATCTACTTCCTCATCTAACATCCATTCGCTGTGTTTTCTGTTTTTTTGTTTGTTTTTTGCCTCGAAATACTTACAAAATAATACTTGAGGAGTTCCTTACATCTACTTTATCTAACAGTATCTATTCCCTATGTTGTTTCGCTTTTCTTTTATCCCATTTTCTTTATATTTTCTCGTAATACTCACCAAATAATACTTTTAAAAATCCCTACATCTTTTTTTGTTTGTTTGTTTGTTTTAGTTTTTGGCGTTGTTGATTTTTTTTTTCTTTTTTTTCCTCACAGTTATTACCAAATGATTCCTACAGAGTTCCTTACATGTTTTTTTTTTTTTTTTTTTTTTTTTTTTTTTTTTACTTACCAACTAATACATGTTTTTTTTTTTTTTTTTTTTTTTTTTTTTTATTCCCGCAAATACTTAGTTATACTTACGGTGTTCCTTAATCTTTATTTTTTCTTTTATTTTTTTTCCTCGCAACACTTACCAAGTTATACTTATGGAATTCCTTACATCTTTTTCTTCTTTTCTTTTCTTTTTTCCTTAGCGAACTTAAATATTTGTGTTTATTTCTTTATTCCTCATAATACTTACCAAATATTATTATATAATACTTATTATTCTTATCTTCATTTTTCTTCTTTTCTTTATTTCTCATATTACGGCGAACCTTACATCTTTATTTTCCTTCATTTGGCGAACCTTACATCTTTATTTTCCTTCATTTCTTTTCTTTCCTCTATAATACTTATTATTCTTACATCTTCATTTTTTCTTTCTTCATTTCTCACAAATACTTACGTGCGAAATAATTTATTTTCATTATCTTATTTCCTTACATCTTCATTTTTCTTCTTTCTTTATTTCTCAAATACTTACGTTACATCTTTATTTTCCTTCATTTCTTTTCCTTTCTCCCTCTATAATACTTATTATTCCTTACATCTTCATTTTTCTTCTTTTCTTTATTTCTCACAATACTTACGGCGTACCTTACATCTTTATTTTCCTTCATTTTTTTTCCTTTCTCCCTCTATAATACTTATTATTCCTTACATCTTCATTTTTCTTCTTTTCTTATTTCTCACAATACTTACGGCGAGCCTTACATCTTTATTTTCCTTCATTTCTTTTCCTTTCTCCCTCTATTATACTTATTATTCCTTACATCTTCATTTTTCTTCTTTTCTTTATTTCTCACAATACTTACGGCGAGCCTTACATCTTTATTTTCCTTCATTTTTTTCCTTTCTCCTCTATAATACTTATTATTCCTTACATCTTCATTTTTCTTCTTTTCTTTATTTCTCACAATACTTACGGCGGAGCCTTACATCTTTATTTTCCTTCATTTCTTTTCCTTTCTCCCTCTATAATACTTATTATTCCTTACTCTTCATTTTTCTTTTTCTTTATTTCACAATACTTACGGCGAGCCTTACATCTTTATTTCCTTCATTTCTTTTCCTTTCTCCCTCTATAATACTTATTATTCTTACATCTTCATTTTTCTTCTTTTCTTTATTTCTCACAATACTTACGGCGAGCCTTACATCTTTATTTCTTCATTTTTTTTCCTTTTCCCTCTATAATACTTATTATTCCTTACATCTTCATTTTTCTTCTTTTTTCTTTATTTCTCACAATACTTACGGCGAACCTTACATCTTTATTTTCCTTCATTTCTTTTCCTTTCTCCCTCTATAATCTTTTTATTCCTTACATCTTCATTTTTTCTTCTTTTCTTTATTTCTCACAATACTTACGGCGAGCCTTACATCTTTATTTTCCTTCGATTTCTTTTCCTTTCTCCCTCTATAATACTTATTATTCCTTACATCTTCATTTTTTTTTTCTTTATTTTCACAATACTTACGGCGAGCCTTACATCTTTATTTTCCTTCATTTCTTTTCCTTTCTCCCTTATAATACTTATTATTCCTTACATCTTCATTTTTCTTCTTTTCTTTATTTCTCACAATACTTACGGCGTACCTTACATCTTTATTTTCCTTCATTTCTTTTCCTTTCTCCCTCTCGCAACACTCACCAAAACAACCTCTCGAAACCCCCTTTTACCAACCCACGAATCCCCCCTCCAGAACTCACCTTGAACCTCAGTCTCCCCACAGGAGCCTTGGCGTAAGGAACCCCCATCAGAGGATAGTAAGGGCTGCCATCCCTTGCCTCGAGCCTCCTGGTGAGGATGGTGCCCTGGGGGAGACGGACAGCCACCTGCTCGTCTCCTGCTGGGGACTCCTGCTGGGGCGTGTCGCGGCCCTTGAGAGCGTCCCCGGCAGACAGCGCCGCCAACAGGAAGGCTGCGACGACGATTTGCATGCTGTTGGGAGGGGCGTGGATGGGGAGATCTTGGTCAAAGGCTAATATTTGTGTGTGGGACAAAGAGAGGGAAAGAGAGAGCGAGAGAGGAAGAGAGAGTGAGTGTGTGTGTATGTGTGTATATGTGAGAGAGAGGGGGGGAGAGTGTGTGTGTGTGAAAGAGAGAGAAAAAGAAAGAGGAGAGAGAGAGAGTGCGTGTGTGTGTCTGTGTGAGAGAGAAAGAAAGAGAAAGAGATAGAGATAGGGAGAGGAGAGGGAGAGGGAGAGGAGAGGGAGAGAGAGAGAGAGAGAAAGAGAAAGAAAGAAAGAAAGAAAGAAAGAAAGAAAGAGAGAGAGAGAGAGAGAGAGAGAGAGAGAGCGAGAGAGAGTGCGTGTGTGTGACAGAGACGAAAAGAGTATATACATATATGCAAAGATAAACAAACCCAATTCAACCCATAAAAAATAATAACAAATCATACGTAATATGACTATAACGGTATTTTTACGAAGAGAGGGTTGAAGACCTTGGAAATTCCGACAACCGCAAACCGATGACTCAAACCCTCCGAGGAAACCGACCAACCGACTCACAAATCAGAGTCCTGGAGTCTTCGGGTCGAGTCGGTTAGTTTGAGTGCAACCAATTCATTGAAAGAAGAAGGGTAATGCAGAAGGGGGGAAAAAACACGAATGTATAAATAATAGAATGGATGTTAAACTAAAGATAGAGGCAGGGTAACGCAGAATAAAAAAAATAATAGAAAAAGATTATAAATAATAGAATGTTTAATCTATGCAGGGGAACGCAGAATAAAAGAATGATAAATAATAGAATGTTTAATCGAGGGTAACGCAGAATGATAATAAAGACGCGAATATATAAATAATGGAATGGATGTGAAATTAACATAGAGGTAGTTTAATCTATGCAGGGTAAAGCAGAATACAAAAAAAGGAATGTATAAATAATAGAAAGGATGTGAAATAAAGAGAGAGGCAGTTTAATCTACTCAGGGTAACGCAGAATAATACACAAAAAACGCAAATGTACGCATAACAGAATAGATTTGAAAATAAAGATAGAGGCTGGTTAATCTATGCTGGGAATCGCAGAGTCAATTTTTTTGATGTGAAATTACATATTTATGGGGTGAAATTACGTATTTATGGGATATTTTTATTTTTGTGAAATTACGTATTTATGGATCTTCTTATTTTTTGGTGAAATTTACATATTTATGGGATATTTCATATTTTCTTGAAATTTTCGTATTTATGGGATATTTTCTTTTTTTTTTGGGTGAAATTTACTATTTATGAATCTCTTATTTTTGTGAAATTTACATATTTATGGGATATTTTCATATTTTCTTGAAATTTTCGTATTATGGGATATTTCTTATTTTTTTTGCGAATTTAGTAATTTATGGATATTTTCTTATTTTTGCGAAATTTACTAATATATGGGATATTTTCTTATTTTTGTGAAAATTACGTATTTATAGGATATTTTCTTAATTGTGAAATTTTCTTATTTTTTGTGAAATTTACTAATTTATGGGATATTTTCTTATTTTTGTGAAATTTTGTGAATATTTTCTTATTTTTGTGAAATTTACTTATTTATGGAATATTTTTGTGAAATTTACTAATTTATGGGATATTTTCTTGTTTTTGTGAATTTTTCTTATTTATGGGATATTTTCTTATTTTTGTGAAATGTACTTATTTGTTGTTGTTTTTTAATTTACTTATTTATGGGATATTTTCATTTTTTTGTGAATTTTTCTTATTTATGGATTTTTTTTTGTGCGATTTTTTATTTATGGGATATTTTCTTATTTTTGTGAAATTTTCTTATTTATGGGATATTTTTATTGTGAAATTTACTTATTTATGGGATATTTTCTTATTTTTGTGAAATTTATATATTTTTTATTGTGAAATTTACTTATTTATGGATATTTTTATTTTTTGTGAAATTTACTTATTTATGGGATATTTTCTTGTTTTTGTGACTTTTTCTTATCTATGGGATATTTTCTTATTTTTGTGAAATTTACTTATTTATGGGATATTTTCTTATTTTTGTGAAATTTTCGTATTTGTGTGAAATTTACATTTTTTGTAAATAAAAGCATTATGAGAAATTTATGTATTTCCGAGAAATTTTCTTCTTCATATGTGATTTTTTTATTCATGTAAAATTTCCGATTATGAAATTTCATTTATTTGAAATCTGCGTAATATGTAAATAAAACAGTTATGTTAAATTTATGCATTTATGTGAAATTTTGTTATTTTGATATTTAGATATATATTTACGGGGGAAAAAGTATGTATAATTAACGTATTTATGTCAAATGTTTTTATTTAGATGAATTTTATATACCCATATGAAATTTACTTATTTGAAATTTCTTTAATTATTGTAATTTATTTATTCATGTGGAATTTTTAGATTCATGTGAAATTTACGCATCTATGGGATTTTTAAAAATATCTGAAATTTACTTATCTATGTGGAATTTATTCCTTTAAGTGGACTTTATTTATTAATGTGAAATTTACTTATTAATGTAAAACTTACTTATTAATATGAAATGTGCGGATTTATGTGAAAATCACCTATATGAAATGTATTTATTTATTTATAAGGAATTTCTTTATGTGAAATCTACTTTACATTTCTTATTGCTAATTACTGCTACGTCCTCATCAACGTGATTACTAATATCATAATCATTATCATCAACATTATCAGAAACATAATTAACCTCACTGTCATCATTAACACTATCATTAAAACTATGATCATTCTTCCTATCACTATAATCCTTGTCATTGTTTTCATACACCAACAGCGAAGAGGAAGTGGCCTTCACTTCACAGGCAACGCGAGAGAGGTTGATGACTTCTTGGCCAAAGTTTTTTCACTACGCTTGCGCTTGGATATCATTGCCTTTATTGCCATGTGCGATTCGATTCTTTTACTGATACCGTAGAGGGCTTCTTTGTGGTTTTCTTTTGTTTCATTGATGATGATTATTTCGTTTATTGTTTGTTTTTTTTATGTGTAATTTTTCTTTTGTTTTGTTTGTTTATAGAAGAGGCGTTTGTTTGTAATTAATCCTAGGTAGAAGACCTGAGCGAATTAAGTATTTTTTACCCTTTTTTTTTTTTCTTGGTATATTTTGATATATTTTTTCCTTTTTCTTTTTTATGCATTTTGGTGTACTTTGAATATCTTTTCCTTCTTTCTTTTTTATGCATTTTGGTGTACTTTGATAACGAAAGAAAGAATTACTTAACTCAAGTTTTGCTTTCCTTCCCTTAAATAAAGATTAAAACTGGATGTACAGGAGAGTAACGGTGCAACTTGTCTCGGTAATTTTAAGTTCAGAGAGTTTACCTTGAAAGTTGAATTTAGTTTTCAGTGAACGATCCGCACTTGGTTAGATAGGAGAACGGAGACACTAATAACCCTAAATTGGCGACAAAGGAAGTTTTTAAATACCAAATAACGGGTGATGAAATATGACTCTATGATGAATAACATGAGTTGACAAATTACAACCAAATGCCACGCATAGTATCAAGAGAACGAACATTTTCAATGAACATGGTAAGAGATACGCCTTACTTGACTGCAGCGCTGAAGAGTGCCACCTCACTCGACGAAGGTCACAGGGCAACTGAATCGGAGACTTGTTATCGAGTTGCTTGTTGTCTTGTTTTCGGTTCGTTTTTTATTCGGAATCTAACACATTTTTTTTTTTTTGTGCATATTTTCTACATACGTAATTTACTGCAAAGTCGATTCTTTACTTTTACTGTATGAGTGCGGCATTTTTTGTTTGCATTTTACTGTATCTGTATAGAATTGTATTCATATATACATACATATCTGTAGATTTATAAAATATATGAACATGCATATATAAATATGCATACATGTATATGTATATATACATATGTATAACATAAAAAGAAAAAGAAAAAAAAAAAAAAAATAGTAATATATATATATATATATATATATATATATATATATATATATATGTGTGTGTGTGTGTGTGTGTGTGTGTGTGTGTGTGTGTGCGTGTGTATGTATATATATGTATGTTATATGTATATGTATATATGTGTGTGTGTGTGCATTTATTTGTACATACAGACATACATTATATATATGGGTGTGTGCGTGTATACATGCACACACACACACACACACACACACACACACACACACACACACATATATATATAGATAGATAAATAGATAGAGAGAGAGAGAGAGAGAGAGAGAGAGTAAAAATAACCAATAACATCTTTCTTCTCCTCCTCTCCTTCTTTCTTTGCCCTCCTTTTTCTCCTCCTCCTCCTTCATCTTCTTCTCCTCCCCTCTCCTTCTTCTCCTCCTTCTTTCTTCTACCTCCTCCTCCATCTTCTCCCCCTCCTCCTCCCCTTCTTCTTCTCCTCCTCCTCCTCCTATTCCTCCTCCCCCTCCTCATCTGCCATCCTTCCTCTCCTCCTCCCTCCTCTCCTCCTTCCCTCCCCTCCTCCTCCCCTCCTCATCCTCATCCTCCTACCCTTCCCCTCCCCCCTCCCTCCTCTCCCTCCCCTCCTCCCCTCCTCCTCCCCCCTCCCTCCCCTCCTCATCCCTTCCCCCTCCCCCCTTATCCTCCTCCTCCTCCCCTTCCCCTCCCCCCCTCCTCTTCCTCCTCCTCCCTTCTTCTCCTCCTCCTCCTCTCTCCTTCTACTTCTTTCGCAACCCCATGCTAACAGGAAAAGAAATGGGTCTTGCGTCATCTTCCCGGGAAACCCATCCCACGGCGGTCGACCGGAGATCCCGCCCCAGAATACCGGGAAGAAAACAGCTGATTTGACTGTTCTTGCGGTTACTATGTTGTTGTTTTTTGTTTGTTTGTTTGTTTTGGTTTGGGTGTTTGTTATTATTTTTGTTTGTTTTTTGTTTTTTTCTTTGTTTTTCTGTCGTAAGTGAATGAGAGAGACGGGGGTGGAGGAAGAGAGAGAGAGAGAGGGGGGGGGTGGAAGAAAAGAGAGAGAGAGGGGGGAGAAAGAGAGAGAAAGAAAGCATGAGAGAGAAAGAGGGGGAGGGAGAGAGAGAGAGAGAGGGGGGGAGGGGAAGAAAGAGAGAAAAGAGAGAGGGGGGGGAGAAAGAGAGAGAAAGAAAGCATGAGAGAGAAAGAGGGGGAGGGAGAGAGAGAGCGAGAGAGAGCATGAAAGGGAATAACTTTAGAAATGGATTCAGTGAGAATGAATAACTTCAGATATCAGTTTTTTGTTGTTGTTGTTGTTGTTTTGTTTTTACATGTGTTCAGCGTGTGTATCGCAAAGGATTTTTTATGGGAAAATTTCTATAGATTTTTTTTTTTTTTTTTTCCAAAATCAGTTTTGAAATGCGATACTTTTTTATGTCAGCTGGAAACACAAAAGACGATGAATGTGAGTCTTAAATCAAGGGTGAAGGGAGATAATTATGAGAGGGCGATAATAATGAGAGGGAGATCATTATGAGATAATTCATGAGTCATGAACTGCACTTGGTCGAATAGTTCCAGTCAGACCTGGAAGTCAGTAGACGGATTGACCTGGCAGCTGGGGTCATGAACTCTCCCGACAAGAGTACAGGGGGTCCGCGACTTACGACGGAGATCCGTTCCTACGATGGCGTCGTAACCCGAACTTTGACGTAAGTCGGAACACACCTAAATACAGTACATGTACGTACGTATATAAGCACCGGTCACTCACATATGCTAATGCAGTATATATTAATGTCATAATCTAAAACATCACAAGACACTTCTATGACGTACATGAAAATATAACTAGACCTAAAGGAACACATGCAAGACAAATTGTAGATACTGTACATGATTTCTATCGTCGTATCCACGAAACGAGGAAACTGAGGACCACCTGTATTTTGGAGATGCCGGTACCTGTGCAGGAGGACCAAGCTACGTGTCTTCAAGGCCCTAATACCGACAGTTTTACTCTACGCTAGTTAAACCAGGACGCTATCTTGTGCTTTGGAAACTCGTTTTGATGCCTTCTGTAACAGGTTCTTGCGCCGCATCATGGGGTACAGGTGGCGGGGCCGCGTGTTCAAACAACGGTTACGCCATGAGACTGGCATGGGACCTGTTACTTGTGTTTCCGCGACCGCCAACTCAGGCCATACGGGCACCTCGGGAGGATCCTGGCCCTCTGGTTGTCGCTATTTGAGAGAACATGGGGTGAAGGAGGCCGATGGGACGACCTAGGAAGTCGTGGCTTGGGCAGATTGATCGGAGTTAACGTGGGGACCTAGAGATGGGTCGGGTCCTTGCCTGGCGGCTCGCCATGAGGGATCCTCGTAGGTGGAAACGAAGTGTGGGTGCGGTTATGCGCCCCCGTCGGCGTTAGCTCCAAATGATGATGATAACATGAACTGACACACACGTACAAATACAAATACACACACACAAATACACACACACACAAACAAGCATAACACGCATACACAAACCACACACACACATGCAAACGCACACACATAAACAACACACAACATACATACACACACTCACACACACACACAAACACTCACAAACTTTAGCTAACACAATTTCAACAAAAAAAAAAAAAAACAAAAACTAAGAGACAAAATAAAGTTTGAAGTCTGGGCTTGAGATGAACGGAGAAATAAAAGCTAAGACAAATGCAAAAACCGAGTCTCATTTGAGCAAATAAACACAGGATAGAGTGTTAGCAGTTTCTGAGAATATGTAGACAGGGAATCCCGTATAGAGGCATGCGCATCCCGTGAAGGTGAAATAAACATTAGGTTAGGTTGATGTGATGATCCAGTAGACACAGTAAAGTGAAAGCACAAATAAATGAATAGATAAATTAATTCATTCATTATCTTACTTGTTATTCTGCCTAAAGTCTTCAAACAATGCAGTTTCCGAGAAGAAAAAAGAAAGAAAAAAAAATGAACTGAGGGCCAAATTACATGAGGAAAAATATTAAGTGGTCTGTGAGAGAATGGAAAGATTGATACGAATAATTAGCCTACATTAAACATATATCAATTTCGTCTTTTCCTTTCTTTTATATTTCTTTCTTTCTTTCTTTTCTCCAGTCTTCGCCGTTCTCTCCATATCTTTTAGCATGATTCTCAGCACATGAACACAACACTGTTTTTCTCAAGTAATTTGTCCGTGGTCCATTTTTTTTTTTCCTGCATATTATTTCGTTTATTATTATTATTATTATTTATTAAGGCACGGGTGAACATGTAAACAAAACAACGTAGGAACGAGTAGAGAAACATACGGAAATGAAAAGGCATTTGACTGTAAAGATAGCAGAAATATTGGAGGCAATTCATAAATAAGATGGGGAAAGAGTTATTGTAGAATAATGGAAGATTTACACACACACACACACATAAACGTGGGAGACAATCAAACCTTTTTCTTTTTTTGAATTCCTCAAAATAGTTTTTTTTCTCAAAATTGTGTTTATTTGAAAATTCCTGGGGAAGGGAGTCCATAACTTCCATTAGATTCTTAAAAGGCTCCGTGACTCTCAAAGGCTCAAGAAAATCATTGCTCAAAGGGATTGGAAAGAAATGACACTGGACACGTCATATGTGAACTGTTTCGGGACGCAACGCCATTCAAGTTGACATAATATGGATAAAGAAGAGAATAACACATTGGAACGCAGCAACGACAGAGAGACCAAGGTTAGAGGCACACACACAAGCACACACACACACACACACACACACACACACACACACACACACACACACACACACACACACACACACACACACACACACACACACACACACACACACACACACACACACACACACACACACACACACACACACACACACACACACACACACACACGCACACACACACACACACACAGGGGAATGCGATGAAAATCAGGTAATGGAAGCAGAGGACACACAAACACACAAAGGGGTATGCGCTGGGGGACACAGGAAAGACAAATTTGATAAGGAGGGGCGGGGCTATTGTCCTGCAGTGGAAAATATTACAGAATGCTGTTGATGGTGATTTACATGTATACAATACACATATCAACATATGTGGGCGTATGTGCGTGCGTGTGTGTTTGTGTACCTGTGTGTCTGTATGTGTGTCTGTGCGTGCAAGCGCGTGTGTGAGTGAGTGTGTGAGCACGCTTGCTTATTTGTGTGCGTGTGCGAGAAAGAGAGAGAGAAGGGAAGAAAAAAAATAGGAAGAGAGTATCAAGAACACAAAATTCTTAGATAATCGCAAATCATAAAAGGAAAACTTTCTTTTCGTCAGTCTCCCTCCCAGTAGGCTCCCGCGCGGGTGTAACTCAACAGCAACACATAAGGCTGGTGGTTCCTGTGATAGTCTGACTGGGAGGCGGTCAGTGGCGGGCAAGTGTCTAGTAATGGTAATAATAACTCTTTGACTGTATGTCCTGAAGACTCGAGTATAAGGCCTAGTTCTGACTCAAGTATAAGGCTAGTTCTGACTCAAGTATAAGGCCTAGTTCTGACTCAAGTATAAGGCCTAGTTCTGACTCAAGTATAAGACTCAAGTATAAGGCCTCTGACTCAAGTATAAAGGCCTAGTTCTGACTCAAGTATAAGGCTCTGACTCAAGT